CCTCCCAGGCCTTCCTTTGAAATCTTGGTGGAAGTCTCCATGACCCCACAACTCCTGGATTCTGTATTCCTGTAAAACTAGGATCACATGGATGGCACCAAAATCTGCCACCAGTGTGAGCAGTAGCCAGGCCCTCTTGGATCTTAGCTGCAGGGCCTCTTGAGTACCTGGATGGCTGAACTTTGGGAGACAAACCCCTAGGTGGCTTTGGGTAAACAACATCCTGGGGCTCTTTTCTCAAAGCAAAAATCTTTCAAACCTTATACTTTTACACCCTCTGTCTGGCCAATTCTTGGGATGTGCTTAAGGCATCTTTCCCATTTTCCCAGTACAAATTACTTGGCTTATTTTTAATGGCGCTAATTACTTCAGCCACACCTTCCTTGGCTGCAACTTTACACACACTTCTTTTCTGGCCAAACTACAACTTCTTCAAATCTTTCTGCTTTGCTTTTTGCTCCTGATTCTCACTGTAAATCTGGCTAAAAGCAGCCAGCAATACCCATGGCACAGTCTGAATGTTGTGCTGCCTTGAAACTTTCTCTGCAAGATTAATTAGTCCAGTGCCTTTAAATTCAGCCTTACAGTCTTAGGACACAGATGGAATGTAGACAAGTTCTTTGGAAGAATGTAACATGAATGACATAAAGTCCAATTCTCAGTGTAGTCCTTGATCTCATCTGAAGCCTCATGAATACAGCTTTTACTGTCCACATTCCTGTCAGCATTCTGGTCTTCTGAACTCATACCAGAGTCACTCACTAGTCTCTGCTTACTGCCTTCTGTGTTTCTCAGGGATTTTCCATACTTTCCCAAACTCCTTTCCTTCCTTCCTTCCTTCCTTCCTTCCTTCCTTCCTTCCTTCCTTCCTTCTCCACTCCCACCCCCCATCCCACTGGCCTCAAACTCACTCCAGTACTTGTGCCTCAGCTTTCCAAGTGCTGGGATTATAGGTGTACCTAGCTCATAAATGTACATATTTTAAAATGTATTTGTGTACTTGCATGCAGGCATACGTGATTGTGTGCCTGTGTGTGAACAGACAGCTAGACACTGAATGCTCACTTTGGTAGCACATATACTAAAATTGGAAAGATGGACACCTGAAATGTCTTCACTAGAATGTTGATAGTTTGGGGTTAGATGTATTTTTTCCCAGTATTATTTTATTTATATATGATAGGTATGTTTTTTGTTTTGTTTTGTTTTGTTTTGGTACCATCTTTTATTTTTGCTATAAGGAAAAGAGTAACATTATTTTCTACTCTGGCAGAAAAAATAAATAGGCTAGCATATTTAGAAATAAATAAGTTACAGCTGGGCATGGTGGCACACACCTGTAATCCTAGCACTTGGAAGGCTGAGGCAGGAGGATTGCTGTGAATTTGAGGCCAGCCAGGACTGCATAGTGAGTTCAAGGCTAGGCTGACCTACATGGCAAGACCCTGTCTCACAAAATTAAAAAAAAATTTAGCCATGTTAGGTGGCACATCCCTGTAATCCTAGCACTCTGGGAGGCTGAGGCAGGAGGATCAAGAGTTTCAGCCCAGCCTGGGCAAGTTTGCAACTTAGCGATACTCTATTTCAAAAAATAAAAAGCGTTGGGGATGTAGCTCAGTGGAGAGGGCCTAGGTTTAATCTCCAGGACAAATAAATAAATACATAAATATATAAGAATTCTGGGTACAACTCTACACCTCTACACATAAATTTGACAATCTATGGGATGGGGATTTAGCTCAGTGGTGCTGCTGACTGCTTCACAAGCTCAAGGTCCTGAGTTCGATCCCTGGTACCAAAAAAACCCAAATTTACAACCTAGATGAAATGAACCATGCCTCAAAAAACACAGCTATCCACCGTGCCTGCCTGGCAAGCACAAGGTCCTGAGTTTGATTCCCGGTACCAAAAACAAAACAAAACAAAAACCAAAAAACCCCACAACTATCATAATTCTCCCAGATGACTTGAATATCCCTGCACCTTAAGGCCACTGAATTATAATTTACAAATTGCCAAGGAAGAAATCTCCAAGCCTGGATTGTTGCATTGGAGAGTTCTATCAAACATTTAAAGAATTAACACCAATTCTATGCAGTTTTTTTTCAGAAAATGGAAGAGGAAACACTTCACACTTAGTTTTGTGAAGCTAATATTATACCAACTCAGATCAAAAAATTCAAAAAGGAAAGTTATAAAATTATATCCTTCATAAGAGATAGATCATTTGCAAGTGGGGACCAAGCGGTGGAGGGAGGAAGATGGGAAGGTGTAGGGGGCCACTGTGAGATGTGTCAAAGTCTGGGCGTCTGAGGGCATCTGAGGGCACCTGAGGACACAATCCTGTCCTTTAGTGCAGGTGCACGATGGGGCTTCATTATATAATAATGAATCAGCATAGACAACTATGCATGCATCACACAGCCTGCAAGCTTGCCTAGAATTTTTTGTCTTAATATGTCTTAATAAGCTGATAAAAAACTACCATAAGTGCTGAAAAATAAAGTTTGGTTCCTGCTTTTTTGTGATGTCTGCTCCACACATGTTCTTTTCTTTGGGAACTTTGACTGACTGGGCCTCCCTTCAGCCCACTGACCCTGATGGAGGGCAAGGGGAAAAGAAAAGTAAAAAGAATATGATTGTAATCATAACGTACTGCAAACATACACTAATAAAACTAAAAATTTAAAAGAAAGAG